GGAAATGTATTATCAACTAACATTGATCAATTATAGAAATTAATTATTATTGATTGTTTTTAAATACATGAACCCAGACAACACATTGTTCACTAAGCACTAAAGATTGTTAATGTAAAAAATTAATAAAATATATTTTAAAAAAGTTTAAAGCAAGTGGACAGTATGGTTTGTTAATGCAGTTTATTACCATGCTGCTTCTTAATTTAAAGATTGTCTTGGACTTACTGATATCTAAAATCTGCATTTTAACTTTCTGCAAAATAACAAATTTTAGTGGCCCTTGGCTATGTAGCTATAATATTGAGTTGTGAGAAAAGGTTTTACATAGAATTAAACTTTTAATGTTAACAATTAACATAGAAATTAATACATTACTTTATTGTCTTGTGCTTTATTGTGCATATCAACATTATCCATTTACCTGAAACTGCTATGGTATGTTTGATGCACGCTCAGAATTTGCTATGAATGCAAAAATGCAAATGCTTGAGGCATTCAGAAGCATAAAATTAAAATCTCAGCTTCTAAAGGTGTATGAATGGCCACTCTTGTCTGCGTCTATTGTCATTATAATACCAACTTTGCCTTTGGCATATTTAATAAACTCTTTGATATATTTCCTTTAGAGGGAAATAAGTTTATATATAATTAGCTTAATCCTCAGGAAAAAAATTAGTGCTACACAAAAAAAATATATTTTGTTTTTTGTTTTGTTTGGATGGTTGGTTTTATCACTATTGGCTTAGACACATATTTTATGTGGTTAAGAACATTAACATATTGTTGGTTTTTATTAAGAATTTAATGCTAAATCAGATCAAGGTCTATCTTTTTCACAGTAATTAATCATATACCTATTTTTGTTTTTAATATATTTTAATTACAATTTTGAGGAAAATATAAAATCAGAGAAGGGGAAAAGGAGTAGTATGCAAATAGGTAAACAAAGATCTTATCATAGTTATTATAATTTTACATTGTATCAGTGTAAATAAAAGAATATTTTATATCATTTAAAAAGTCTGAAAATCTCTTTTAAACTGTAAGCAAAATAAAATGAAACTGAATATTTGCAATAAATACTCACAATCCCACAAATCATAGAATTGCAATAATTCTGTTTTTTGCTTCTTACACACACATAACTACATGCACATTTGGAGTTTTTGTGTGTGTGCTTATTATCATAAGCATAATCTGATACTAATCTGAGGATAGCAAATCTGAGTTTTAGGTAGAATTCTAAAAAAGGATTTATTGTCACTGTGCATATGGTGATACATGTAATCTGTGAGAAAAATTGACTTTTCCTTTTGCAAAGCAGAAGGACATACTTCAATAATTTTGCCTAAGATACTTCCAAATAGTGAAGCCTAAAGATAAATATTATATATTTAATCTATAAATAAACGTTGGGTTTTACATAGGAAAGCTAAAAGTATGGTTTACTTGTCTTCCATCAATGACCTTTGCTTTTTACAATGCCTTTCGTAGCCAAATTCAGACACCTTTTATGTGGTTCTTAGTTTCATGTTTCTGAGCTGTTGAAGTGCTGTAGCTCTTTTATATTTCTTGGCTGCTGTATTGTTGTATTTGTAATACTTTCTTTTTAGAAATTGCTAGCCAGACTGTATTATTAAAAATTGTATTCTTTAATCTTGAAATACTGTTATATTACATTCATTTTATTACAAAGGTTTTTATGTTGCTTTAGTCATTTTGATTCCAAGCAGCTCACAAGAAGCAAAATACAGATACTATAATCATAACAAAATAAGCAAAATATCAAAAGCATAATTCTCATCACCATCAATTTCATCATGATTTAGAATATTATGCTCCAGTTAAACTACAAATTTATTACATTAATCAAAATAATACTGTTTTGTAAGCCCACCTTGAAAACAAGGTTGTTTACTAGTATGTTATGCAATGTAACAACAGTGTTAAGGGATTTAATCACATGTAAAATTTCCCAAGGTGGTTAAATGACATGGTTGAGAAGGTTAATAGGCATTTTCTAGAAACTGTTTACAATTTATATATTTACATCACAGAGCTATAATTCAAACATAGTAAGATAAGCAATTGTTGTCAATTCAGTTTGCATTTAGAAAGTTTTTGATTATTATGTCTTTGCTGATATCTGTTTTGATAAATTTATGTAAGAACCTCTTTAGTAATGCTTCATATAGGAATTTATACTGGAATTATGTTTATTTAAAATCCCTGAATATTCTGCTATAGTAATTTGCTATAATGTGCAGGTAACTGTTCTACCATCTGAATTAATTTACTATCTTTTGAAGAGAATGGCTTATAAATTCATACATAAGTAGAGTAGAAGATGAGTTTGCCCTTTTTAGCTTTTATATATTTTCCTCAGGGAAGATTTTGTCTTCCTCTGCTTCTGGACTTATTAATTTTATTAATTTAATACATTTTATTACATTTATTAATTTTAGTCTCCCATTCTAGAAAAGAGGATATATGTCAAATTATTATAATGACTAATTTAAATTGTATGTTTGACAGTAATTTTCAAAAAGCAACTGTATTAGAGGTCTTTTACGGTTATATAATTAGTATGACTTTAAAATCTGAAAACGAAACAAACTGTGCTGCTTTATGGGGAAAATAAGGTGTAAACAGCAATAGTACATTTTGTACCATATTCTCAGCTACCAAATGATCTATACAGAATGTGTTAATACTTTAGAAAGTCTTGTAGTCTTATAGTTCAAATTTGTAAGAAAGTTCATATATATATTTGTGATTTTAAGGACCCACTTCAATCCACATCTTAAGAAAGCAGAACTCTTGGAAACGGTTTCTTCCAACAGGAACTTTTATTAAAAGAAATTGATAGCAGGCAAGATAGACAGGATCTGAGGGATTCCCTTACAATTCGATGTTTTAAAGTGTCCCTAAGCAGCCCCCCATCCTGCAGTTCTTCCAGGCGATTCAAACTGGCAGATTTCTAGGTGTTAATTCCAGCAGAGGTAATATAAATCTGGTTCTGTTGGCACGATCATTCAACATCTCCTCACACAGATCCCAGATGCTGCATCTTTCCCCTCCCCCTTTCTCTCGCTGGCCGGTAAGGAGGAGAAGTTCAGAGGGGCATAGGATGAAAGGCAAATGGCTATATTGTTATGGGTAGCAGACCCGAAGCGAATCAACAAAAGGTTACTTTGTAGTGAATAGAGGAAGTGAAAGTAATAAAAAAACCATGCATACCCCCCCTTAGTAGTATGACAGGATCCAGGAGAGAGTAAGAATTGGTTTTATATCAGAGAAGATAGATAGAAATGAAATATAACTGGATTCTGACAAATGTGTATTTAAGGTAGATAAGCTAACAAATGGATATTTTAAATATGAAGTTGGGTTGTTGCTAAACATAGTAAGAATTGGATATGAATTGAGTTGAACTGAATAAGTAAAAGGCATGCAGATAAATGGATATTTTAACAAAAGTTGAACATTGAGCAAGGAGTAAGAGACAAAGATATGTGATGTCCTCTTGTATGTGCAAAAGTATGTTTAATACTTTTTTTTTACATTACAAAGTATTAAATGTGAGTTTGTGTGTACTCATCTCATGTGACTGAGAACTCAAATGATTTGCTGCAAATCCTAGGTTGTTGCATCCAACCATTACAATTTAGACATAAATGAAAACCCATCTCCCCTACCTAATAATCAAACAAATGCAGATGCGGGAAGATAGTGGATGGGATATTGTCTGCTATAAGCAATGAATGTACAAGACTGATCCTCTCCCCACTTTGCTACTGTATATGGTAATAAAATCGTAGTTAGAAACAGGAAAAGGGTAGAAATGAACTGAATGCAATGGGAATGGAATACTTAAGAAATGTGGGTACTAAAACATAAAGGAGTGAGAATGAGTGCTCTATGTGGATTGCATACAAAGTGAATGACCATTGAGGTGTTTTGAATATATATGAATGAGGATCAAATCATAATAAAATATATGAAGGAAGAATGAGAGGAAAGGGATACCTGAAAAAAATGTTATTGGATGAACTTTAGATCCTCAGAAAAAGAAAAGCACAAATTCAAGAAATAAAATACAATTTATATTTGTTATATAGATGTGAAGAAAAGTATGAAAGGCTATAGTGTATTAATGCAAATGAGGTCTAGGTAGATTTTTTTTTCCTTTTCTCTCATTTCCTGAGTCCAGGAAAGTTCTCAATTTGTATCAATATTTTCACCAATATCATTAATTGATTTTAGCCACTATCTGATCCGATGAATCTATTCTGATTTACTACATCATCTTAAACTGTATATTCACTGTAATAAAAAATAGAACAAATATTGTGTCATTGAAGTGAACTTAAGTAACATCAAACAAAGGAAAACATTTCTAAAATACATCACTAGAATACATTGGGTACAGTACTTACTTACTTACCATTGGGCAAATAGTCCCTATGAAGATTACCTCAGCAGTTATATTAACACAGGAACTTTTATTGCTAACAATAAGAGCAATTTTGGCAGAATTATCCAAATGATTAATATTTCTATAATCTGACCTAAACAATAAAACAGAATGATCATGCTTTTTGAAGGCAATGGTCATTATAGTCTTAAATATCTTGAGTTTATCAGGTGATAGTTCACAAGGTAGAAGGGCTGCTTCATAGAGTTCCAGCCCTTGTTAATATTCACATTAGAGAAAAGAGCATTAAATAGCCTTTTACCTTGATTTAAGTAGAAGTGAATCAGCCAGCACTGCTGATGTAGCTACCTGTTTACCCTCTTTCTTTTTAAATATTGACACTAAGAACTTTGTGTCAGTGAGGCTCAAGGAATACAAAAATGTTTGACACTTATCAATTGGTTTATGTTGATATTTTCTTCTTACAGTATATATGTTTCATTATATGTTTCATTATGAAATGTAATCATTTTTTATATATTTATATATCTCATTGCCTTTTTTTCTTTCTGATTTTTAGGAACAGGCACTTTTGGGCGGGTTCACCTGGTGAGAGAGAAAGCTGCTAAATGCTACTTCGCATTGAAAGTAATGAGCATTCCAGATGTTATTCGGCTAAAACAAGAACAACATGTACACAATGAAAAATCTGTTTTGAAAGAAGTGAATCATCCATTTCTGATCAGATTGTAAGCTTCATCTACTGCGTTCAATCGCGATCAGTTCTAGCAATCAAAATCTTTGGGTGACAAATTTTCAATTCCCCCCCCCCATATTCAACAGTATCTAGGAAGCCTATTGCAGAAGAAAAATGAAATATATATTATAAACACTTTGTCTCTGTTTGCTTTTCCAAAAAGGTGTGATGTGTGATTTTACAGCATTGCTCAGGATAGATTGATTATCCTTCAAAGTACAGTAATTGTTATAGTTGTATATAATGTATATATTCAAGCATTTTTCATGGATAAATATGTGTGTGTGTATATATATATATACGTATACATATGCACATATATATGTTTCTGAAAGATATCTTCCTTTTTTGTGCATTCAGCTTGCTTTTTGACATAATTTTATCATGGCATAAGTCTTGATAGTATTATTCCTAGGAGAGGCTCAAAGGTTTTCCTGCCTGAAGAGAGAAGAAAGTTTTCTATGTCTCCAGTTTTAGCTCTGAAACAATTTTAAGAATTCTGAAAACATCTGAAGTGGTTAAATGGGTACTGCAGAACAAAAGTGGAATCTGTAAATCCAATTTTTTTCTCTTTTACAAGAAGAATGTCTATAGGATAATTCCACTTGTATAAAAGAATGCCTTTTTTGATAGTTGACACTATGGTTATTTTTTTTTTAGATAACGAATGAGTACATGAATGAAAGCTCATGTTTTCAATAAGCAAAATTACTCCCATTTTGAATATGTTCTCACAAATATAGTGGTTTTGTATAAGACTTGGCAGCTTTCTTCATTAGAAGGAAATAATTTAGAGATATTTCTAAGCTTCAGGGGAAAATGGTTACAGCACTCAGTATTTTAATAAAGTAATTGCTGATAAATGTGTTGTGTTGACAGTACACAAACTACAATTCCCTCTGATTGAAACTACAGGAAATCTGTTTCTGTATATGGCTCATTACTTTTTAAAAATATCTTGTGGTAATGGGTGGAGTAATGCATGTTACCGGAAATGTCAGAATTTCACAAGTTAAACTATAAACAGAGGAATTATAAGTACATATTGCAAAAGTAATTTCAACATAACAAGATTATATCCTAATAAGATGAAACTGACAAAGAGAACAAAGGATAGCAAGCTCAATTAAAAATGCATTTTTGCCTACTAGTGATGATTCTGAGAAATAAACATGTAAAATTTATGGCAGAATTAATTTTTGTACAGGTTATATTTCTGAGTCCTCAACCATTTTTATTGCAAATTTTCAAGTATTAGTCAATTCATTGATAAGTGAATGAAGTGAAGAAATAGAACAGAAGTACACTGGGATAATACATTTATTGGACTATTTCTAGCAGTGGTTTTATACTAACACAGGATCTGGCAAACTGGTCATTTGGATCTTGTCATCTCTGGTGATTAACTGTGTTGATCCAATGCTGAAACCTTGAATCTAAAAATTTCTAAAACCTATGGAGATACTTACTACTCCTGTCTACTCTATTTTTGTCCATATCTTTAGGCAAAACAAACCTTATTTTTTTGTCCTGAACATTGTCTGAAATAGGTAATACTTTAAAGATGGAAACAATTATTGTTTTCCTTCTTTAATAAATATACAATGGGGTCTACCCAAGGACACCTTTGTGCAAACAAAAACCATGAAAAATATTTAGATTGAACCAAACCTCAAATCTCAAAATAGTACAGAATATTCTGAACTTTTCATAGTAGAGAGTGGACTTTATTTACCTGCCAGAGCTTTGCTTTTTTAATTGTTTTAATTGCATATATGGAATTGGGAAATCCTGCATCAAAAATAAAAGCAAAAATAATACAAAAAATTCAGAAGGAAAAATTTAAAACATGTAACAAATTTATAAAAACATATAACAACAACAACAACAACAAAGTTGGAAGGGACCTTGGAGGTCATCGAGTCCAACCCCCTGCTCAGGCAGGAATCCTACACCATTTCAGACAAATGGCTGTCCAGTCTCTTCTTAAAAACTTCCAGTGTTGGAGCATTCACCGCTTCTGGAGGCAGGTTGTTCCATTGGTTAACTGTTCTAACTGTCAGGAAGTTTCTCCTTAGTTCTAAGTTGCTTCTCTCCTTGATCAGTTTCCATCCGTTGCTTCTCGTCCTGCCTTCAGGCGCCTTGGAGAATAGCTTGACTTCCTCTTCTTTGTGGCAGTATATGGTATTATGTTCCTGCTAAGATTATTTAGAAGGTGATGTAATGAATCTGTCCTCTATGGAAGAGTTGAACACTGATCCTCATGATTATTTTTTACTATATCTTATGAAATTGAACTTTAGTTTTTTTCCTTCAGCTGAAATTCTTATTCAGAGCTTCAATATTTAAATGTTTGTAAAGTATATTTTTTACTCATTTGTTTAACTGGGTTCTCTTTATCTAATCTTGTGCCTTGTTTGGAGAACAGATCACATTTTATGTCAAATTTATACAGCAATATTGAACATTCAAAGGGCTCACAAACCTTTAAGCAACACTATAAATATACAGAGAATTTCATACAGGAAATGCATATCAATTTTTAATACATGTGGAGAAATTCATGTACTTCATTTCATCTACCTCCTCAGCTTGGGAATTGTATCATTTATAGTAGGTTGTTTTGACTCACTCAGCAACTTTGTATTTCATTTAACTGTTCTTCCTTTGTTCACTGGTAATTATACTTCAACCTTGATGCAGAATCACAGAGATTCAGTAAATTAAACTAATCTTTAAAAGTTGCAGTGATTATGTTTCTCTACTTGGCTTCTGACTTCCTTACTCCTTTGCCTGAAAGTGTGCAGAACTCCATTTCAAGACCAAGCTGGGATGTTTCTGTCAACATTTAGTCATGTTATGAGTGGTTTTATTGGGGGCCCTGGAATAAAAAAAAGTATTTTAAGATTTCTAAGCCTCAGCAGTATTATATCTTAATTGAAATTATGCAATAGTACATACTCAATTATTTAAGTGTCTATTTAAGGTTCTTAAATAATTTTTGTCACTTTACTAATATGCTGATTTTTAAAAAATTTCTGAAAAACTGAATGTATTTTTATTATTACAGATACTGGACTAATCATGATGAACGATTTCTATATATGTTGATGGAATATGTACCTGGAGGTGAACTTTTTAGCTATCTACGCAATATGGGACGCTTTAATAACAGCACTGGACTATTTTACTCTGCAGAGATAATTTGTGCAATAGAATACCTCCATTCAAAAGAAATTGTTTACAGAGACTTAAAACCAGAAAATATTTTATTAGACAAAGAGGGGCATATCAAACTCACAGACTTTGGCTTTGCTAAAAAGCTTGTTGATAGGTAAGTTATTTGATGCTGACTTTGACTTTTTACTTTTTTCCAGGGAAAAAATGGGGAAATGAATACAGAAAATGAAATTTTTCATCAGACTAGCAGTATCAGACATACAATGATTCGTACTGTTTGTTTTAACCTTCCTAAATGATGATTCCTAGCACACATTAATTAATTGACTATATGCTGTCAAGTCAGTGTCATCTCTTAACCTGGCCCTTCAAATATTCTAAAGTTACACCCGTCACACTGTAACTGAGTCCATCTACCTTGCTGCTTTTTTTTTTTTTCAATATAAAATTTTTATTGTTTTCCAAAAAAGAAAAAAACATCACAAGTATTACACAATATTATAATATATCCCACCC